ACTTTGTTGGGTCTAAAATTATTATTTCGATGAGTTACAAAGGGATGACGAACATAATATATCCTCCATACTATGTATGGTGTAGGGTATAAACATATTGAGTCCAGGTACCAGGACCAAGAGGCACCAAGAGGAAGAAGAAACTACCCGACTTCAAATCGCATGAAGATATTATTGCTCCATATATCTCCCAAAAAAACCGTTGTGGAAATTCTCCTAAATAATTTTCCTAATTCGTTTAAAGTCCCATTGCACCCTAATTGCTTTACGCCAGCCACCTCTCTGCAGAGTGATTGTGACATCATGCAAGCTGGCGGTGCGGTGCGATAATGTAAAAGTGCCTGCTTTGCCAAATTGTTTGATAAAATGGTCAAAACAAAACCACAAAACAAAAACATTCGACTAAAAGGAAATGCAGACGGAAAACCGTGACCAAAAGAATGGTATAAAATGGAACTCAATGAAAACGTTTATACAATGCGCCAAGGAAGGTGAGAGCGTAAGGGAGAGAATATATCATTGAAGCAAATAAACAAACAAAAAAGCGCGCGCAGCTTTTTTCTTGGGCGCCAACAAAGCTCTCTGGCCACAAAACGATCATTATTATATGTGTTGCCTCTCTCTCTCTCTCGCTTTGTTGGGTTTCCCGTTCGTCTCTCTTTTCTCTCTGGCGCACATTTTTTAAATGGAGCAACGGAAAAGACATCTTCCTCCCAGTCATTTGTGGGAAAACCAATTTTCGCATTTTCAGTTGTTTAACGATCGTCATTTGAATTTTCACGCGTTTTTTGTTTTTAAATTTTCTCTGTTTCGTACGGATTTTTTTGAAGTTATTTTGGTATTTGTGGTGTTTTTTTTCTTTCGTTTCGTTTCGTTTTGGAAAAGAAAACAAAAGAAGAGGCATACGTAACGCAACGCCAACCAAATTTAAATTTGTTTTAACATTTCGAATTTGTTGTTTTAAAGTTGGCCTTCTTTTTTAGTTGGTCTATCTGTCTGTCGGACGGTCGGTCGGTTGATCGCTTGTTGTTTTTGCCAAAGAGCAGAGAAAAAAATAAATTTCCTAAGATTACGCCAATGTGATTTGTGTTTTAGCCCAATGAAATGTTGAAAAAAAGTTAAGAAAACTTCAACAAATTGGTAGTGTTTTCATTTCATTTCTTGATAAAGAAATTCCACACTCACAACAAAAAAGAAAGAAATGTTTTAAAAGCCATTGATAAAATTTATCAATTGAAAGAAGAAGAATATATATGAAAAAAATAAAAATAAATTGTTATCAATTTCAAATATCACAAGCAATACATCGTCGTTGTCGTCGTCGTCGCATTCGCCTATAATTCGCTATCGCCTCAAATTCTGCCGGTTTTTCAAATCGTTGCTCTATGATTGTGCCCTTCTAACGCTCATCAACCAATAATACCACAACAAACGTGGTTTTAATGTGAACGGGTTAGGCTGTGCGGATTTCGTTGTTATTTTCGGAATTAGAAGTAATATTTTATTTTATTATTTTTTTGTTCTTTTGTAAATCCCAACCAAGTTCGAAGCTAATTTCTTTATATTGTGGCTGCTTAGCGATACGAAGCAAGTGTTTCATAAGTTAAGTGCAAGGAAATTTATCAAAAAGAGAGCAAAAAAAGAAAAATGAAATAAAATTTCAATATCAAAAATAAAATTTTTAATTTGCAAATAAAAAAAAAATAGTGTTTACAAAATAATATTCAATGTCAAATTCATATTTCCAACAAGTGTGGTCATTGTCGTTCAAAATAAATAAATAAAAATTTTCCAAACCGTATAAAAAACAACGTGTCATTGATATAAACCAGACCATTGCACAAGACTGCGATAGGCGATTCTTGAAGAGGTGAAATATCGTTCTGATGTGATATTGCATTTTTTACTTGAATCTGAAAGAACAAATAACAAAACAGCTAAGTTCGGCCGGGCCGAACTTTTCATAGCCTCCACCATTTGGAAGGAACCTGAAAATTTTCAAAAAATTACGAAAAATACCATTATAACTTTATTCGAAAGCTATACGAAGGCGTGGATCTGCATAAGTATTTTTTTTCATAGACTATAGTACCCCCTAAGATCTTCAAATACGAAATTTAAAGCAATCCCGGCGAATAATGTCGCTAAAATAATCAAAATACCGAATAAAGAGAGATCCGGTTATATGGGGGCTAACGAAGACGTGCACATGCATATGCAATTTTAAGGCATAGACATAAAATCTTCAAATACGAAATTTGAAACAATTCCGGCGAATAATGTCGCTAAAATAATCAAAATACCGAATAAAGGGAGATACTGTTATATGGGGGCTTTACGAAGACGTGGACCTGCATATGTTATTTTTAAACATAGACTGTAGTACCCATTACAAACTTCGAATACAAAATTTGAATTCGGTTGCATAATGTAGCTGAAATCATCAAAATACCGAATATCGGGAGGTAACGTTATATGGGGCCTATATTAAAACATGCACCGACATGTTCGATTTACGATCTTAACCTACCTACTGGCAAAATACACATGTGCAAAATTTTGTTCTTCTATCTCAATATGTTCGAAAAAATAGCGTGATTACAACAGGCACACAGACGGGCAGACAAACACACACAGACAGGCGGACATCGCTAAATCGTCTTAGAATTTTACGCTGATACAGAATATATATACTTTGTAGGGTCTATCATGAATATGTTGAGGAGTTACAAACGGAAAAGCAAAGCTAATATACCCTTTCATAGAATGGTGGAGGGTATAATTAAAGTATGGCGGACCAAATTTCTATTGGAAGCTTTTGGAAGATCAACAAGTAAGAAGGGCACAACTCTAGTAAAAACTCTCGATATTTTATACCCTACACCATAAGGTGATCAGGGTATTATGTCCTTATGCATTGGTTTGATCTGCATAGAATCACATTCTGCTTCGATTTATGAATGTCGGTCTGTCCATGCATTATTGTAAACAAAGTACAGGTCGCATTTATTATCCGAACCAGATGAAATTTTGCACAAGTCATTTGTTTGACCCAAGGACGAACTCTATTGAAAATTCGATCTTTCGATCAAAATTTATATGTAGCTCCCATTTATATCTTCGTCCGATTTGCCTTTTATTATGCACCAAACGTGTAATATCAGCTCAAATAGTATGGAATTTTGAACATACGACTAAATTAGGCCGGAAAAAAGTATGCCAAATTAAATCGACATCGGTTCAGACATAACTATAGCTCCCATATACAGGGTGAGATATAAAAAACTGCAACAAAGTCAAACGCCATAATTTTTACATTTTTTAAATTTTATTGAATGAAAGCAAAGTGTCGGAAATAGCTTTAAATTTTAGAATAAAATTAAATTGGTACGAATTGGTCACCCTATGGCCTTCAAACGGTCATTAAAACCGTCTCACGTTGCCGGATGTTGCTCTGCTGTATTTTGGCAAATTCCTGGCGTAGCACTTGCTTAAGCTGATTGACACTTTGGTATTTTTGATTCCTGAGTCCTGTTAGAATGTCCAGGTCTGCGGCCAAAATGTTTGCGTGCCCAAGGCTTTAATACACCCTCCAGAATGTTTTCGCCATAACATTCGACATTTATTCTGATGCCACGGTCGCTTAATACGAGTGAAGAGCGACCATCACCTGTTATGGCGGCCCACACTATCACAATGGCCGGCGCTTGAGCTCTGGTGGCCAACCGAAGGTCTACATTTTCAACTGACCTCGTTGTCAAGTAAACACGATTATTTTGCTTGTTTACAAACTGCTGGACAACGAATGTTTTCTCATCAGAGAAAACCAAATTCGGCAGTACACCCCTTTCGGCCAAGTGAAGCAACTCTTTAGGTCTTTTGAGTCTATTTTCATTTTGTTGCGGTGTAAGTTCTTGCACTTTTTGGAATTTTAATGGTTTTACGCCGAGCTCTTTTTCAATATTTGCCGAATGGAATATTGCGATATGTGCAGCTCACGAGCCATTTTCGGCCAATGCGATGCGGGTTTCGATCAAGTCGCTTCATTGCATTTCGAACCATTTCTGCTCAAGTTTCTGTTTTCTTCCGTCCTCTTCCTTAACGTCGAGCTACGCTACCAGTATCACGGTAACGAGCGATGGTACGAGACACAAAAGATTTATTCACATTTAAATGCTGGAGTGCTCTTACGAAAGCCACTTGTGGTTTTCCAGCCAAATATAAAGAAATCACACTATCGCCCTCGAATTTTATCACGAATAACTTTTTTGGATAATTCTCACCAAAATGCTTTGGTACGCTTGTAAATAATATAATGAGCTGTCACTGGAATAATTTTAATAGTTGGCGGTCAAGTGGCTTAGAAATGATAGCTGTCTGAATTTGGTTGCAGTTTTTTCAACTCACCTGTATTTGGCAATATTTAATGTAGAGTTTTGAAAATTTATAGTGACATTTGAATTACATCCAAAATCATTGGTTTAAAAAATGGGTCATGTGGTTCCACTTTTTGGCAGCACAAATTATGGACTGTCTCCAAAGGAACTACCCTTTTATTAAGTTTTTCAAATGTTATATTTATTTTTTGAGTCTGATCAGAAATTTTAATAACTCAATCGGAATGGAGTTTTTCTTCCGCATACACATTCGAATCGTCATTCGCAATATAGCATTGTGCTGAAAAATCTGAGTTTTTTATTACTATTGCAGAAAAAAGCGTATATTTAGAATAAAGGCAAATGGTTTAAAAGGCAAAATAAAAAAGCAAGAAACTAAAAAAATAGAGCAATGTAAGCTTAAAGTCAGAAGAGGTTACCTCTGCTTATGTGAGTTTTTGCCCTCTTTAAAAATGTATTCTAAATGAGCCAACCTTAACCGTTAACTGCAAAAATTCAAGAAGCAGAAAAGAAAACAAAAAAAATATTATTTACAACCCAAAAAAGCAAAAGTTCAAACTGAGTAACCAACAATTTTCTTTTTCTCTTTCCATGTCATTGTAGCTTCAAAAGCAACGACTCTTCAACATTGTATACCTCACCCGCCGGTTCAGCTTTCAAACCGGCCAAGTCGTTGGAAGGTCTCGGTTTTATCAACATTACCGCACACGGCAATCAATCGCCCAACGCACCGCCATCTGCTTTTGCCCTAACGCGTTCCTACACCCAACCGCTGCAACCGTTAAAGCATTCGTTGAGTAACGCCGCCGTTGTAACGTCTACATCGACACCACCCCCAACAGCCGGTCAAGCATCAACTTCGTTTAAGGCACGCAAAACACCCACCCGTAACGATTCCACTACCAATCAATCGGATTTAACGCATTCGTTTACGGGCGATTCGGGTCTATCGTGTGACAGCAATAGTGAACAACGTATCTTCGAAATGTCTGGCCTAGAGCAGGACGTTGACATGATTGAAAATCAGGAACCAAAAACCCCATCGAATACTGCCGATGTATCGTCCGGCGGCTCATCGTCGGGCAGTGGCATAGTGCGTACGAATAGTGTACGCGCCCGGGCCAATATGTTCCAACAGCTGCAGGAGAAGACAAACAATGGAAGCAATAACGGTCTCAATCGGGAAGAACGCACTTCGCCGAGAAGAGGTAAGTGTGGCAATGATATTATTTTTTTATCGGGGATATTAATTTATAGTCTTGGGGACATGAGAGTATTGGGGAGATCAGAAAATCCTTATCAAATGATGATCGTTTTCCAAAGAAAAAAATTCATCACTGACTCCGAATGAGGATTTTTTTAAAGAAAAAAATTTGTTCTCAGTTCCCAAAAAAAATTCGTCCTCAGTTCCTGAGGATTTTTTCTACAGAAAAAATTTGTCCTCAGTCTCTAAGGATTTATTTTTATAGAAAAAGATTTTTTCCTGGGTCTCTGAGGACTTTTTTCCATAGAAAAAAATTCGTCCTCAGCCTCTGAAGATTTTTTTCAATAGAAAAAAATGTTTCCTCGACCTCTGAGGATTTTTTTTCTTTAGAAAACAATTTGTCCTCAGCCTCTGAGGATTTTTTCTATAGAAAATAAGTTGTCCTCAGTCTCTGAGGATTTTTTCTTTAAAAAAATTGTCCTGTGCGTCTGAGAATTTTTTTTCTATAGAAAAACATGTCCTCTGCGTCTGAGGATTTTTTTTCTGTAGAAAAAAATTGTCCTCTCAAAAATTGTCCTCAGCCTCTGACGATTTTTTTTCTATAGAAAAAAATTTGTCCTCAGTCTCTGAGGATTTTTTTCTATAGAAAAAAATTCGTCCTCAGTCTCTGAGGATTTTTTTCTATAGAAAAAAATTCGTCCTCAGTCTCTGAGGATTTTTTTCTATAGAAAAAAATTCGTCCTCAGTCTCTGAGGATTTTTTTCTATAGAAAAAAATTCGTCCTCAGTCTCTGAGGATTTTTTTCTATAGAAAAAAATTCGTCCTCAGTCTCTGAGGATTTTTTTCTATAGAAAAAAATTCGTCCTCAGTCTCTGAGGATTTTTTTCTATAGAAAAAAATTCGTCCTCAGTCTCTGAGGATTTTTTTCTATAGAAAAAAATTCGTCCTCAGTCTCTGAGGATTTTTTTCTATAGAAAAAAATTCGTCCTCAGTCTCTGTGGATTTTTTTCTATAGAAAAAAATTCGTCCTCAGTCTCTGAGAATTTTTTTCTATAGAAAAAAATTCGTCCTCAGTCTCTGAGGATTTTTTTCTATAGAAAAAAATTTGTCCTCAGTTTCTGAGGATGTTTTTCTATAGAAAAAAATTTGTCATCAAACTCTGAAGATGTTTTTCTATAGAAAAAAATTTGTCCTCAAACTCTGAAGATGTATTCTATAGCAAAAAATTGGCCTCAGCTTCTGATGATTTTTTCTATAGAAAAAAATTGGCCTCAGCTTCTGATGATTTTTTCTATAGAAAAAAATTGTCCTCAGTCTCTTTGAACAAAATTCGACAACAAGTCAATCAATCCATATAGTTTTCGGTCCGAAGTTGCACCAACTATGCATCCGAACTCGGAAGTTTAATCCGTCTTTCGGTTGTAAGTCGGATTGAACTCGAACAATTTGGTTCGCTGGGTACACATATATGCTATAATATATTACTCATAATAAAATAAATGAAACAAATAGTTATTTAAAATTTAAAAAAAAAAACATTGAAAGATTTCGTGGTTTTTTTGCTATCAACCACCAAACATTCTGAATGTACATAATTAGATCAAAATAACTCAAGTTTTGTTGTTATTGTTGAAATTTAACCCCAGTAACCCAATGCTGGACTCATTACAATCCCCAGCAATGACTTATGAGCTCAATTTACAAATATTTTCAACTGGAAAAAGTGGTTCATTACTTTCTTTGGGGTGATGGGGAGAAGAGAAAAGTGAGTACTCGTTTTTCTCACAGCTCAAGAGAAGGTGACATAAAATCTTTTTTTTTTTTTTTTTGTTTTTTGGGTTATTAACTCAACTCATAAAGAGCTTAACAAATTCGTCAACATGACAATTTTTCTGGGACATAAGTATGTAATTTTCACCACTTATTGGTGTTGTTGTTGTTGTTGCTGCATTTTTCTGTGGTTGTTTTTTGGTAGTTTATAATTTTAATGTGTTTTAATACAACAAACGCTATTCGCTCAACTGTAAACACGATATAATTTACGCTTTTATGATTTCTTTGTAAGAACTTCCCTCTGCATAACTCTGTTTTAGGGGGGATATGAAAATTATTATGCATGTCGGTAACCCATAACTTGTACGCTTGCGCAATACATAGATATAATGAAACTAATTGTGTCGCATTTATATGGAAGTTGTGTAAAATATTGTTTAGGTCTTCAGTTAGAACAAAATGTGCAAATTGAGGGTTTAGGACACATAATAGAAAATATTCATAATAAAATATGGACAAGATCCTCGAAGAAGACTTCTTTAGAAAGCACCTATATATGGGTGCTATGCCCAAACATGGGCCTACACTGAAGATTTGCTGCTGAGTTTTTTCTGCGTCCTAAGATCCAAAATTGAGTTATGTAGGAGAATTTTCCATATTTTCACATGACCCTTAATATTTTTAAGTATTTATGATATCTTAGCTTTCAGACTTTTGATTTGTTCTGGGTCCCATAGTACTACTATCCCGTTCAAAGGGAGCTAAAAAGACCACTTTTGTTATACGCTTGATGGATAAAAATGTCACTCAAAATAATAGTCCATTTCATATCGGGCCTAAATAAATACGATATAAATAGTCCGGCGCACTAGGTTTGATCTATACTGGTAGCTTCATCATAAAATCCATATTCATCCCAAGTTTCTGGTTGAGAGAAATATTCAGATATAGCAATTTGTAAAGAATCGCTGACTTGTTTCGCAAGTTATGACAGAAATAAGTATTGGAAATTGTGACCCTTTGTGGGAGAGATACAAGAATGGTTTCGCAGATATATGTATATCAACTTCACATGTTTATATCTTATAATTTTGAATAGATGGATGGATTTGGATGCTTATTTCGCTTTCTTTCAGCGTTTTGTGTTTCAATATCTTAAACCCTTTGTGTGGGAGAGGTACCAGAAGAAATGGTCCGATCTCCACCATCTTTATAACAGATCTTGTGTTGATAGAAATATTGAGATGTATCAAGTCTATATGGAATCGGACGTTATTTTCGCGTTTTATGAGCTTCATGGATACTCAAAATATTAACACTTTGTGGAGGAGGTAACAGAAGGAGTGGGCCAAAATATCCCATCTTCACAACAGATCTTGTGTTAGCAAAAATGTTTGTAGGTGTGAAATTTGAAAAGAGTTGAATGCTTATTTGGCTTACTTTGAACGTTTGGTTTCCCAAAATCTTTAACCATTAGGGGGAAGGTATCAGAAGAAATGGTCCGATCTCTACCATTTTATAACAGATCTTGTGTTGATAGAAATATTGAGATGTGCCAAGTCTGAATAATAATCGGATGTTAATTTGGTGTTTTATAAGCTCCATGGATATTCACATTTTCAATCTTTTGTGCGGGAGGTACCATAAGAAGTGAACCGATATATTCCATCTTAGCACCAGACCTTGGGTTAATTAAATTATTGGGATGTGTGAAATTTGAAGACAACCGGACTCTTTTATCACATTGTATAAAAGTTGCAATTATTTAACATTTTGACCCTTAGTAGGGGAGGTACTTAATAGAGTGGACCGATATCGTCCATTTTCGCACGATATCTAGCACTGATGCAAATATTTGGATTTGCAAAGATGGAGCGAAACCCGATTATCGTTTCTCTTTCTGTGCAGAAAATATATTTTTTGAAAATGTCGACATTTTTTAGGGGAGGTACCATAAGAAGTGGACCGATATATTCCATCTTAACACAAAACCTTGGGTTAATAAAATTATTGGGATGTGTGAAATTTGAAGACAATCGGACTCTTACATCACATTTTAAAAGAGTGGTAATTATTCAAAATTTTGACCCTTTGGGGTCTGTGCAGAAAATATATTTTTTGAAAATTTCGACATTTTGTGGGGGAGTTACCAGAAGGAGTGGACCAATATTGTCCATCTCCGAACTCGATGTAAGTTTGACAAAAATATTACGATGCATCAAGTTTGGACTAAATCGAATACTACCTTCGAGAGTTATCGTGCGCATCAGCCAGATAGACGGACGACGGATATCGCTAGATCGACTCCAAATGTCCTGAAACGGACTTTGCCCAAAGAGGCCTAGGGTCTAGAATCGTTATTTCGACTCTCTAGCCTAATGGCTGAGGGTAGAAAAAAAAATAAATTTCGAAGGGGGGAACTTACCCTCATCCAAGTTATTTTTTTTTAACCTCCACCTTGACGGAATGACAAAATTAATATACCCTCCTTATATTAATTTCGTCATTCCGTTTGGTAAAACAACTTGTATTGTGTCTAGGATGGTTGGTATTGAAAATTAGATATATTGGTTCACGTTTTGGTATAGTCCCCATATAACGGTACCTCCCGATATTCGGTATTTTTTATAATTTTCGTCACATTTTTTCACGGATTTGTCTAAAAATTGGTATTTGTAGGTCATAGTGGGTTCAAGCTCCGGTGGCGGAACATTGTATATATAGGTCCACCATTTTGTATATCTCGCATATAATTGTACTTCCTGATATTCGTCATTTTTATGTTTTTTGTCACATTTTTTCACGGATTTGTCTAAAAATTGGTATTTGTAGTTCGCAATGGGTTCTAGCTCCGGTGGCGGAACATAGTATGTATAGGTCCACGTTTTGGTATAGCCCCCCATATAACGTACCTAACCTTATTCGGTCGATTTTTGCCACATTTTCCCACGGATTGGTCTAAAAATTTGTATTTGTAGTTCATAATGGATTCTAGCTTCGGCGGCAGAACATTGAAAATGTAGGTCCTCGTTTTCCTATACCGCACATATAACGATACCCACCGATCTTCGGCATTTTGATAATCCAAGTCACATTTACCCACGAAATTATTTCAAATTTGGTATTTAAGAAGATTGGGAAGATGACAATCCTTGAAGTATAAAATTGTCTGTAGAGGTTCCCGTTTTGGTATGGCCCCAAATAACGGCTTCACCAAACAGTCCTACTGGCATTTATAGTTTAAAGTAGAATACGTTACAATTCAGATAATTTTATATAATTTTTTTTCTCTTCCCAAAAATTGGAGGGTATTAAAAGTTCAGCCCGTCTAAACTTAATGTTTGTTTTACTTGTTTTTCGATGAAAACTTTCATAACGCCAATACACGTGTCTTCTATTTTTAGCTCTACTTTCATAACCAGTAGTTTTTTTTCTGTAATTATTGAAGACATTGAATTTTGTCACAAAGTCTTATCTATAATCTGCGAATAACAGTTTCTAAGTAATGATTTATTAAAAAACATTTCCTTTTGCAAATTATAGATTAGGTTTTATCTATAACGTAATAAAAGAAAAAAATAACGGAAACCCGTAATTGGACAGGTAGTAAAAAATTATTAGAGTTACTAAGAATTTGACACACATTTTCAAGACGCAATAAAACAAAGGGCCTTATCTTATTAGTGTTCATTGTAAATTTGTTACAAAACACCCTTGACCGAATTTCACAAAATATAAGCAAACTTCGGAAATTTGGTCAAGAACATAATGAAAATATAATTGGTTATTAATTGATTTATGATGTATAATAAAACTTTACGGAAATGAACCAATGGGCAGACGTGTTGAGAAATCTAAAATAAAGGGAATTACCCAGCAAAAAAATTATTACAAATCGGTTTACCAACCTATAGTTGTTAGTTTTTTTTTTTTTGTTCATTTAATGTAAAATAAAACTTCTGCAAAAATTTAAGTATGTATTATCTGTGGGCATCGCTCTAGCTTCCGAACGAACTAGAGTGGGTTAATAAAATTTTACTTAATAGCATGTTTCCATTGGAAACCGAACAACGTTGTTCGCTCTCAGAATTAGGTACACGAATTAACCCGTTCATACGGCACGATTCGTAATTCATAGTAAATAATTCCTTTTTTCAAAAATTTTGTTTCTTGATTTTAATGGGAATTTATACTAAAATACATTAAATTCTCACTAATATGAATAAAAGAAATGATTGTTTTTCTCCCAAATATGTATTATATCAATAATTTTATAATTTTCATTCACGTTTTCAACTTTTTGTGTAAATCTTGACATTTTGAACATATTTTTGTGTTTTTCCATTTTTAAATTCTACTGGAGAGACATTTGTCAAACATTTTTTCTGCCAATAGAAACATTTTGAAAATATTGCCTCTTTTGTTTGCAGTTTTCTGTGGAAATTTCATCTCGTGGACCAAATGCGTACTTCGAATGAGAGAGAAAACAAAATTTACTTTCGTTTGAATGTACATACGCCATTCAACATTGTAGTTTTCATACATAATTTTCAGTCTTCCCAAAAATTTTTTAAATTTTCATTAAATTTTTCTATTTTTAATTTTAAATGTCATAATTTATTTTTTCGATAAATGCTCTCATTTGTTAGGGATGGGACATATTTTTTCGTTGTTCTGAGAGTGATTTGAATTGAACAACGTACAAATATGAGTGTTCGCTCAGGAAATTTTGTGTGAAGAATTAGGTAGTTTTTTCATAGTTAAAGGTCAAACAACGAATAGAGAGCGAATCAAGTGCAGTGGAAACGCCACATAAATGTGTGTCTTGTCAGCCGAATTTTGTTATTGAAAATGGGGTATATATTGTTTCGAATTTCGTGTTTGAACTTCCTAATAGGTACTACAGCCTGTGGCAATAAATTGTCCATGCAAGTCCAGGGGCTGGATTCTTGTTCTATGAAAATATGCAATGAAAAATATTTCCTTTATAAAATTTTTCATTTGACATTTCTTTTCTTTATAAAAGTTTTCATTTCACATTTTCATAGAACAAGAATTGAGGCCCAGGTCTTCGTATAGCCCACATACATGCATAGATGCAATATTCGCCGACATAGATGCAATATTCACCGAAATTGTTTTAAATTTCGTATATGAAATTCCTAATGGGTACTAAAGTCTGTGACCGAATATTGTCTATGCAGGTCCAGGTCGGTACCTCCCTATATTCGGTATTTTGATGATTTTATGTACATTATTCACCGGCATTTTTTCAAGTTTCGTATTTGAATATTGTAATGGTCAATGACAAAAATTTCCTGTGTAGGTACTCGTCTTCGTAGGGACCCCAATATTATGGCAACCGCTTCATTCGGTAATTTTAAGATTTTAACGGATTTTTTTTTAATTTCCAAATTCGTTCCACAGAGTGGTGGGCATTTACGATCCTGTTTAAAAGGAATTTTGAGTAATTTTTGGAAAAAAAATACCTGCTTTGTAAACTTACTTTAGGGTTAAAGTTTCTAACCAAAGTAATTCTCGTATGTTTATCTGTAATATTGCCAAAGACCTATAAATTTTTAATTCGCTTTGTTTATAGAATTGTTGGTCTTTGCAAAAATATTTTTTAACCTATTTTCTTTTTTACAAAACTGGGTTCTACAGCTCATACACATTTCTGGTTTTGTTTCACTGTTCAACATATTCAGCTTGGTCTATATTTTGACTATGAATCATCTTACAAACGAACAAAGCTTGTAAATCATTGAATTTTATTATCAAATGAGCGATCTGTTAAAAAAGTTAATAGGGCACTTCTTCCACTCAGATGCGAGACTCATTTTTAGCCCAATGGGTACAAAAATAGGCAGAGTTGCCGATTTTGCAGTGAAGATCAGCCAGAAACAATGCACCCAGAAAAAGTAAAAATTTGGTGCGTTTTAGGGCTGGTGGCATCATTGGACCATACTTCTTGAAAGATGCTGCGAATCGTAACTGTGAACCGTGACCAAAGGGCAGAGATTGATTTGCATGACGTGTGGTTTTAGCAGGAAGATGTCACATGCCAAACAGCACGCGTAACAAAGGACGTTCAGAACTTGTCGCCTAGATAGACGATTTAACGCCCCTAGGCATTTTTTGTGAAGCTATTTTAAAGCACATGTCTATACAGACACGGCCAAATTAAGCCTGGAAATAAGTATACCAAATTTGATCGAAATCGGTTCAGATATAGCTATAGCTCCCATATATATTTTTCATCCGATTTGATATTTTTGTCCTCCGAAGCCGTAATATGCGCTCTGTAACAACGGTATTTGGAGAAATATATCAAATACAGCACAGAAATCGCTCCCATATATATCCTCGTCCGATTGGCTTATATTGTGCACCAAAAGTGTAATATTACACCAAGTGGGATGAAATTGGGCACTTACGACCAAATTGTCCAAAATGTCAAATTTGTTAAAAATCGATTAAGACATAGCTGTAGCTCCCATATATATTGCTCATGTAATAAATCACATATTTTTTTTTCTTTTATATGAAGTTCTACTAAATATACAAAGGGATGTTAGATATCATAAAGACATTCTTTACTGTTTTTTTTTGTGTGTTGAAAGACTTCCATATGTCTCTTAAAGTATAACCTTTTGAATTTTATAGCGAAAGACATGTCCATATATCTTTCTATATAAATATAACTTATAGAATTACATCTATTAAAAATCTAACCCAACATTTCTTATTTTCTTTTCTGTATTTCCAGTACCGCGTCGTTTGTCACCTTCTCCAGCTGCGAACGCCGATGAACCACGTACACCCAATAATCCACCTCTGAATCCGGATGAAGAAATCGGTATGTTTATATTGAACAGTTTTCAAATACGGCCAATGCCTGAAATCAATAATAATACCAATAATCCCCCAATTCCCTGCCTATTATTTTGCAACAACACTAACCATAATTTTCATTTGGCCAATGTTTTTTTGCAAAATCCGAATTCTTCCAATAACCTCCCGATAATTCGAATGTTTACGAATGCAAAATTGACGTTGTCGTTGTTGGTATTTTTATTTCATGGACAAAATGTGTTTTTATTTTCCGTTTGCTCATTGAATGCAATTTTTGTTGTTATCGTTGTTCTTGTTATTGTTGTTATTCTTGTTTGTTTGCAGTTATATTATTTGTTATTGTTTTCTTAAATACTACTACTACTACCACTACTACTAATCTTGAAGTGAAACCAAAAAAAAAAAAAACAATAAAAAAATTAATAAAAAAATAATCAACGAAAACCACATAGAAAATATGATTATAAATCAAAAATTAAATACACATACATACATATGTACGTATGTGTATGAAATCTCAACAAATTCTAGTTGCTATATCAAGAAAATGTACGATCGAAGGGCAAAGCTAAGGCAAGTAATAAAACTGATTAAAATTTGTGTACGAAGAGGGTGTAGCGTGTGAAAAAAATATATCAATATTAGTCCATGTCCATACAGGGTGAGATTAAAAAAAATGCAACAAAGTCAAACGTCATAAATTTTACATTTTTTTTTTAATTTATTGAATGAAAGCAAAAAAGGCGGAAATGGCATCAAATTTTAGAATAAGTGTAGATTTGTTTGAATTGGTCACCTTTGACACGAATTATGGCCCGAATGTTGCTCTGCGGTATTTTGGCCCATTCACGGCGAAGTGTCGAAATGATCGACACTTTGGTATTTTTTAGTGCCAACCTTGCTTTCCAAAATACTCCAAACACAATAGTCCAACAGATTAGTATCCGGAGATTTTGGTGGCCATTTAGCTCTGGAAATCAAACGAGGAACCTCATTTTGTAACCATTCTTGGGTGGCGCGTGTTGATTCCTGTTGGAATGTCCAAGATCTGCGGCCAAAATATTTGCGTGCCCAAGGCTTTAATACACCCTCTAGAATATTTTCGCAATAATATTCGACATTTATTTTGATGTCACGGTCGTTTTATACGAGCGGAGAGCGACCATCGGCTGTTATGGCGGTCCATCGCTATGGCCGGTGCTTGAGTTCTGGTGACCAACCGAAGGTGCATATTTTCAGCTGACCTCTCTGGCAAGTAAACACGATAATTTTGTTTGTTTACAAACTGCTGGACAACGAGTGTTTTCTCATCGGAGAAAACCAAACTCGGCAGTTCACAACTTTCGGTCAAGCGAAACAACTCTTTACCTCTTTTGAGTCTATTTTCGTTCTGTTGCGGTGTAAGTTCTTGCACTTTTTGGAATTTTAATGGTTTTACCCCGAGCTCATTTTGCAATATTTGCCGAATTGAATATTGCGATATGTTCTGCTCACGAGCCATTTTTCGGCCACTGTGACGCGGGTTTCGATCAAGTCGCTTCTTTACTTTTCGAACAATTTCTGTAGATGTTGCTGTTTCCTTCCGTCCACTTCTTTGACAACGGGCTACGCTACCAGTACCACGGTAACGCTTGTAGCCACTTGTGGTTTTCCAGCCAAATATAAAGAAATCATCTTATCACGCTTGAATTCCATCACAAATAACTTTTTTTCTGGAAAATTCTCACCACTGGAATAATTTTAACAGCTGTCGGACGAGTGGCTTTGAAATGACAACAGTCTGAAGTTGGTTGCAGTTTTTTCATCTCACCCTCTATTTGTGCCGTGTAAGCAATATTCTCCAAACGATTTAGCTGAATATCTGTATTTTGGTTTCTTCGGATCTAGAAAACCTGCGACTTATGCTCTTCTTTTACAAAACCACAGATTTTTGCTTATTTTTTCTACACATCGAAATTCGTCAACATTATTCCACAATATTTGTATTCAATATTAATTTTAGATATTAAATCATGCATAAAATTCCAACCAAATGAATATTAATATTCAAAAAGTTTTTTAACCTTGAAATTATATTCATTTCATAATACTGTGCCTTATGCCGTCGAAAATGGCAAACTAATAAATTAATATTTAAATGTTCCAAAAAAAAACAATGGTGAGAAATTATAATCAAATTGAGCTATAAAATATTGATCTGAAATCGTGTTTTGTTAATACCGAATGACATATAAGTAGCGTTACTTTTTATGAGACTTTGAAATGGAAAGGTTTAGAAATAATGGCGTTTCATGGAGGAGTTCTGTTAGAGATGATATTATCTATGGTTACAGATTTTTATTTTATTCAGAAATTCATAATGAAATTCGATTTGGAATGTTTTGTCTTTTGACCCTATCCCCAAAAACGAAGTTTGTTAGGAGATATTGTCTCTGAAAATTATAATTATGTGAACGTTTGTGGCGAATTGGGAAAATGTGCCAAAATTGTCAGAAATATCTTTATTAAAAAAACATGTAAAAAGTTGTAAGTTCGGCCGGGCCGAACTTCAAAAACAATCAAATCCGTTAAAAATTCTAAAAATATGAGGACTATACGAAGACGTGGACCTGCGCAGACAATTTTCTGTCCTAGGCTGTAGTATCCACTACGAACTTCAAATACCAAATTTGAAACAATTCCGGTAAATAATCTCGCTGAAATCATCAGAATACCGAATATCGGGAGGTACCGTTGCATGGGGGGCTATACGAAGACATGGACCTGCACAGACAATCTTCTGTCATAGGCTGTAGCATCTATTAAGAACATAAAATATCAAATTTGAAACAATTCCGGTGAATAATGTCGCTAAAATCATGAAAATACCGAATATCATGAGGTACCGTTATATGAGGGCTATACCAAAACGTGGACCTACATGGTCCATTTTCAATACCAAATATTCTACAGAGATAACAAACATTTGAGTAAAATTTTATCAATATACTTCATTTCGTTCGGAAGCTAGAGTGATTTCCACAGACGGATAGACGGACGGACATCGTTAAATCGACATAGAGTTGCTGATATTTCGAGGTGTTACAAACGGAATGAAAAACTTAATATACCCTCCATACTGGAGGGTAAAAAAGCCCTCAGCCATATGGCTAGTTATAACCTCAGCCATATGGCTATGGAGGGTATTCATCATTTGATAAGGCCAAAACGTGCCTCATCGAAATAACGGTTTTGAAGAATAGGTCTATTTGGACCAAATCCGTTCCAGGACATTTGGGGTCGATCTAGCGATGTCCGTCCGTCCGTCCATCTGTCTGGCTGGTGCGCATGATAACTCTCGACGGGAGTATCCGATTTGATCCAAACTTTGTACACCGTAATATTATTGTCAAACTTAGGTCGAGTTCGGAGATGGACAATCTCGGTCCACTCCTTCTTGTACCCCCCCCCCCACAAAATGTTCACATTTTAAAAGAAAATAATTAACTGCACAGAAAGAGAAAGGATAATCCGATTTAGCTCAAACTTTGCAAATCTTAATACTTGCATCAGTGCTAGTTCAGGTGCGAAAATGGCCTATATCGGTCCACTCCATCCAGTACCTGCCCCAAAATTTTGAATAATTTTAACTCTTATAAAATATGATGTAAATGTCCGATTGTCTTCAAATTACACACATCACAATATTTTTATTAATCCAAGGTCTGATCTGAAGATGGAATATATCGGTCCGCCCCTTCTGGTACCTCCCCCACAAAGGGTCAAAATTTTGAATATTCGTGAAGGCTATAAAACACGAAATTAACATCCGATTCCATTCAGACTTGGCACATCTCAATATTTTCATCAACACAAGATCTGTTATAAATACGGTAGAAATCGGACCATTTCTTCTGGTACCTCCCCCACAAAGGGTCAAATTTTGAAAAACCGAAACGATCTTAAAATCCGAAATATGCATCCGGCACTCTTCAAATTACATACATCACAATATTTTTATCAACTCAAGGTCTGGTGTAAAGATGGAATATATCGGTCCACTCCTTCTGGTACCTCCCCCACAAGGGGTCGAAATTTTAAATATCCACGAAGGCCATAAAACGCGAAATTAACATCCGATTCTGTTCAGACTTGGTACATCTCAATATTTCCATCAACAGAAGATCTGTTATAAAGATGGTAGAGATCGGATCATTTCTTCTGGTACCTCCTCCACATAGGGTTCAAGATTTTGAAAAACAAAACGCTTAAAGAAAGCGAAACAAGCATCAAACTCTCTTCAAATTTCGGACATGCAAATATTTTTGCAAACGCAGGACTTGTTGTGAGGATGATATATATATGCGAACCCCTTCTGGTACCTAACCCACATTTTCTATACTTTTATCTGTCATAACTTGCGAAACATGTCAGCGATTCTTTTCAACTTGCTATATCTAAATATTAATCGAATTGGAAAATATTGGCCTACTGCTTTGGAAACTCCCCCCATAAAGGGTCAACAGTTTAAATATTCAGAACTCAAGGCTGGGGGTATATATCAGTCGGCAAAATCAACTGATACTATTTTGCCAAAAGATTTCCCCGATTTTTGCCAGTAATATTGTCAAAGACATTATATTTCGAATATTTTTCAATAAATGTGAAAATTGGGCGAAACTTCCCCGCCCAAATCCCAAATACCCGAATTTCATATTTTTAGCTCTCACAGTGTAATGTTACTATGCTCCTTGTTTGTTTCTTCTTCTTAAAAATAAAATCTGCCACATTGATTTGAGCACAAATCTAGTACTTCATTTCATGCATTATTTGTTTGCATTATTGTTTCTTTGGGATTTTTACGTTTACTACATTTACACAATTCACAAAAAAAAAAAAAAACAATAATTACATAAAAATATTTATGTTGCGCATGCGCTTGCTTCTATTTTATTTTACCTTTTGGTATGTTTTTAATATTTTTTATGACTTACTCACTTACCTGCCTACCTGTTTGCTTGCCGCCTGCCAATCGTATCATGTTTGTTTTTCTTTTCTCAAATTGGAAATTCAAACTGGGGAATTGAATAATTATACAATTTGGCTAGGGAAACACAAATCCACACACACACACACATTTAAACAATCTACATTCACATACCAACAATTGAAAACATAATAAAGGAATTCCAATAAAAAAACTAAAAACATTACAACTATATATTTCTACCTATCATTTCGAACGAATTACCCAATTATTTTTTTCCGTAAATTTATGATTTTTCGGTTTCGTTTGAAACGACTTTTGTTTGCATGACTTCATGTGTGTTTGTGTAGGTGTGCATGCATGCATGTGTGTGTGTATTTTCACATAAACAAATATGTAAATTAATTAAATAAAACTATGGCAATGGATATGTGGTTTTTTACAATGTCATATTGAAATCAGAACGTATGGAAGACATTTTGTAAAGAAAATATAAATTTCAATTTTTTAAGAAAATTAAACAAACCATTTAATGTGGGGTGAGTAAATATTTATTTTAGCAATAACGAAATTTGACCTTGCGAATATCCAGTGTTTTTTCTTTTGTGAAATGGAAGTGAAATAGTGGAATACCTGGTTCTCTGCAATCATTAAAACTACAAATGACCTTTAATTTTTTATGAAAGACTAACTGAAAAGATCCACTTTATGTGGGTCTTTATGTTATTTCCATTTGGAAGCATTGGCCGACATAAACATCGGGTAATTTGAATACTAATACTTTTTTATTACAACAGAATTATACAACTCGATTTTAGAACGAGTCAAGGTTGTGAGAGCTGTGTGTCCTCAGCCTATAACCGTTTTCATAAATACAATTTTGAGCTATGTAAGGCCCTCCCAAATTTTTTAACATAATTTTCCTGAATTTAGTAAAGTATATGTAGAGTCCACCAAATAACTTGTTTATACCCTCCGCCATAAGGAGGAGGTAATATTAACTTTATCATTCCGTTTGTTACACCTTGGATCATAAATTTTAGACCCCACATCTGATCCGTATAAAATTCTTGTCGTCCGTCTTTGGAAATTACTCTAGCCTCCGAACGAATTGGAGTAGGTTGATAAAATTATACTCAAATGTGTGTTTGGTCTGCAGGACTTTTGGAATTGAAAATTGGCTATATAGGTCTACGATAATTCAAAATTGATTCAAAATTCGTATTGTAAGTTTTTGATGGGTACTACCGCCTGCAACGGAAAATTGTCTATGTAGGTCGATATTTTCGTTCTGCGACAGAAAACTGCGTATACAGGTCCATGCCTTTGTATAGAGCCCACTATAGCGGCAACTCTCTATAGGATGAGATTAAAAACTGCAATAAAGTCAAACGCCATAATTTTTAAATTTTTGTAAAATTTTATTGAACGAAAGCAAGAAATGTCGGAACTAGCATAACATTTTAGAAAAGGTTTAGATTTGTTCGAATTGGTCACCTTTGGCACGAATTATGGCCTTCAAACGGCCAATGAAACCGTTACACGCTGCCCGAATGTTGCTCTGCAGTGATCGACACTTTTGTATTTTTTAGTGCCAACCTTGCTTTTCAAAATACTCCAGACACAATAGCCCGACGGATTTGTATCCGGAGATTTTGGTGGCCATTGTGCACTGAAAATGAAGCGAGATACCTCATTGTTAGCCATTCTTGAGTGGCGCGTGCTGAGTCCTGTTGGAATGTTCAAGGTCTGCGACCAAAACGTTTCCGTGCCCAAGACTTTAATACACCCTCCAGAATATTTTCGCGATAATATTCGGCATTTATGCCACATTCTGACTCCACGGTCGCTTTATACGAGAGAGTGACCATCGGCTGTTACGGCCCACACCATCATCATGGCCGGCGCTTGAGTTCTGGTGGCCAACCAAAGGTGCACATACTATGGTGGAGGGTATAAAATTGTACCTCAAATCTCCTTCCTCCGCACCGAGAGAGAGAACCTCATGCAAATCTTAAGATTCGGTTTTCGTCTCGACGTTTATGAGTTAGTCCAATAATCTTAAATCCCTTAAAATGTATAATGAATCTCTTAAACTATAAACTACCAAAGATCTATATCACTCTTTTTTATGTGCATACATCAAGCCCCCAAAAGTATGCATCCAAAAATTGCCTCTTCTTGTCTCAAAAAAATATTTTTTTTTCAAATTTAAAAAAAGAATATTTGAGTACTTCAAAATGTATTTTATCAGTGGTTTAATTAAATTTGAACTCGGCGAACAATAACTGTCACACAACTTTTGTTCAGAACTTCTCGTCACGTTCTATTATCTTTTGTTGATGGAATTTCAACACGCTCACTCGCATTCGCATTCGAATGTTGGAGCACGGCCAGACCCCCACGACGACGAAGTCATTGCCATCGATGAGAATAGGCAACTGAGATGACGTTACTAATGATTATGATGATGATGCATCTTTGGGTTTTGGTTGGAAAAAAAGTATAGAACTCAACAATGGGATTTGCAACAAAACTTCTATTGAGGAAGAAAATCTAGAAAAAAAAGAATAGCAGAACTCTATGAAAAGAAATTAAAACGAATGGAAAGAATTTTATCAAATGCTATAGAAAACTATGATTAAGACGCCAAGCGATGTTCAAGTGCACACTCAAACACACACACACATACACCCGCAAGTGACAAATCCCAGCTAACACTTCCTTAAAGGCCGACGTGGTGGCTGCCTGTAGTTCAGGCAGCCAGCAAAGCGTAGAACTCAGATTAAAGAAAGAAAAAAACCCAAAAAGGCGATAAATATGCGTGCATTATGTCGTCTGACTGGCTGACTGACTGCCTGGATTGTATGTATGCGTGTATGTGTGTGTGTGTTATTGTTTGTGGGTGGTAGTGCGAGGCCTGTGACGCCAATGAAAATCTTTTATCTTGAAATTCCAAAAACACTAACCATAACCATAAATGCAGTTGAGTAGTTAAACATTTGTCAATTGCAAGTCAGTGAGTAAAGAAGGAGGAAGAGTAACACAACGAACCTCGAAAATACGATTCGAAATATTATAGAATTTTTAGTAATCGAAAATAATAGTGAAGTAAACAAACAAGAACAATAACCGCAACAACAACAGCATTGTGAGCCTTAAGTGTAAAATGAGAACACGTAAGTCCTGCTGCCAACTTAGGCTTCTTATCAACCATGGAATGATGATAACTAATTGTTGAAATTGTCTTTATCACCTCTCCCCACTATAGAACCCTCTTCATTGCCTGTCTCGGAACGCTTGAGATTTTTCAGTAGTCTCAGTGAATCACATAATCGCAATTCCGGCTCCTATACACGAAGTCCGCCCTTGGGTTGCATAGAACGCAGCTCCAGCCTGAGTTCGTATGGTGGCTATTTTATGCCCACCACACCCAGAAGTAGTACCAGCCAAAGTAGTGCCAGTGTTACGCCCACACCCATGGAATGTGGTGGATCATCGTCACAGCAGCAGCAGCAACACCAACAATGGCCTGTCACACTCGCGGAATCGCCCACAATTCTTAAGCGAGACTTGGCAGCAACAACCTCCCAAACAGATGGCCAATGCCAAAGTTATCAGCTGCAAAAGAATGCCACAATACATGATTTCAGCGATTCCCGGGAGGTCATTAAGGCCGATATTGTGAAGACCTCACCATTTTTGCAAGCCACAAATCGGGTCAGCGCCACACCGGCCCATCTGGCTAATGCCGATACCACACCCACATCTACGCTCACACCCACCATGAAACGCATCAAACTGAAGACCATTGGTAAGCTAATGCTGCCCACCACCTTCCTCAACAATGATCGCAACAACAACCATACGAAGGAGAATAATGGCAGCTCTTCGGCCGGCAGTTCCACCACGACTAGCCTCAGCGAGCAGAACAGTGTGGACAGCAATGATTCGTCGTCACAACAGCCACCGAAGAAAATTGGAAAAATCAAATCTCCCTTCATTGAGAACTGCAATCAAATGCAACAGAACAAGGTTCAGCTGGGCAGTAAATGTATGAAATTTGATTATCGCAATCATGAGGGTGGCAACTCCACGGCCCTGTCATCTGTGGAAAATAGCAATGATCATCATCACCACAGCAACAATGTGGTGAGCAAATACTTCAATAATTCAGCAAATGGCCTTAGCAATGGCCATCATCACCAACAGGAAGATTCCAACACAGATTCCGGCAAAGAGAACATTGATACCTCCTCCTCCACGGGCGGCTGTATGCTGACAGACAGCAGCAGTAGTGCCACCACCTGTAAAACCACCCCCATTGGGGAGATACGACGAAAATTCACCCGAAAGGCCAACAGCAGCACCAATACACAATCGCTCAACACCAGCGGCCCGGCGGGCACACGCACCCAACTAACGCCCAAATCGGCATCCTTTACCGGTCCCCATTCGTCCTCGCCACAAATCGACAGTAAATATGCCAAATATTTTGGCATGTCGAGTAGCAGCAGTAAAACGCCTACCTCAGCGAATGGCACAGCGCCTCCTGCCTTGCCCAAACAACCGCCGCCACAATCCAACCAGCTTAACAATAAATCCGCCGATGCAAATGGCCCTAGCATTGAGATACGTTTTAGTTCACCACCTGCCGCCACCAATGAGGCTATTAATCACCATGTTAATCTATGGCAGAGTCGCAGTGCTGGCAGCAGTCGGCGGCTTAAGCGTAGTCTTACCTCCAATCTGGCCGAACTTAAGCAGTTCGAGGAGATTGTGGTCACCGAAAGAGAGTTGAAACAGGCAGCCAAAGAATTCGACAATCTGCTGTGTGGTGAATCGGTACTTCAGCAGCCCACAATGGTGGTGGAATTGGAGAAAATCTTTTCGAGCATTGTGTGATAGGCAAGGGCGGCGATGTCAACTCACGTGGACATTGTGTGCCACCGAGGGATTGAGTGTATCCTGTTGGAAGCAAGGCTTTCCATTTTCAAGTGATATTTAATATTTCAATTGTCTGTGTCTTTTATTTTTCTTTTTCTTCGTGGTGATGTTTGCTGTACGTGATCGTAATTTAATTTTCAGGTTTATGTTTGTATGTTTCTTGGGAAAACGAAAAGGAAAAGGATCCATTGTCGTATCCACCAACTGTCAAAAGTGTTTATTTACTCAAAATAGAAAATGTATGGAGAGGAAGAAAGAATTTAAGGCACTGAAAGGAGGAGAAGAAAAGTGGAACAAAAAACACCCAGAATGTTATGGTGATAAGGATTTCAATTCAGGCTATCAAAGGACTTGCCAGGGGAGGTTTGAAGTTATGAAAGACCAACGTGGGCTGTAAAAAATAAGATTTAGCATTCGTATCGATCTGTAAGCCTTATTGATATTTGAAATTAGCTCCAACGAAAAACTCTATTCAATTCAGGCTTTTAAAGCACTTCCCGAGGGAGTCCTAAAGTTATGAAAGACAAACCAATTTTAAAAATCAATTCGGTATAAATTCAATTTAGTATTCGTATCGATCTGTAAGCCTTATTGATATTTGAAATTGGTACGTTTTCAATTCAAAACAATTTCAAAAATCAATTCGGTACAAGTCCTATTTTGCTGTAAAGAAACATAATTGTGATTTGAACTTCAAAGAATGTCTAATCGCAAAAGTGTACAAACAGCTAACTTTATTGGCAAATAGTTATCAAAAGAAGTATTATTATGAAACTTTATATAGACCTTCATTCGGTATTTGAAAAATTATATTTTTCATTTAAGGAACGCCAAATTCTATGTGAATTTTTGAATTTGTGTATTGAATCAAATTTTGAAAAAGTCGCCTAGAATTTATGCTTTTCTTTGGCGTTTATTGTCATTCGACATACATACGCAGGCCAAAAATTGAAAGTATGAAAGCAATTCTATTTCATATACATCCACTCGAATAAATAAGGCTCCTTTTCTCAATTTTTTGAATTATAAAAATATACATATTTTTCGTACGGAAGATAACTCCGTTTCTCAACTCCTCCTAACTCCTCAAAAATAGCTCCACCTAGATATTCTTAAAACTCAGCCTATATTCTCACACAGAAATTTCTATTGAGAGAGCTGTACTACAGTGGAACCTTTCCCTTTGTGAATCCATTCTTAATGGGTGAAAATAAACTCCACAAATTCTCTGAATTTCATTACCCGCCTCTCAGTGCTGTTCGAAGTAAACTTTCCATTATTGCCTCCTCTATTCAAAATAAGAATATTTGTTTTACTCCCTTCTAAACTACTTTAAATTCATAATATTTTTTTATGGTAAAACTAAATTTTGTATTTTATTATTATTATTTTTTTTATCACATATCTATATTCATAGAAAAACAAATGTTTTATATATCATCCATTCTGTTTAAATTTAATGTATTTAAGCTATATATGTATGTATGTATTTGTGAGTGCAAAGCAAAGCAAAACAAGCAAAAAAAAAGAAACTTAAAAATTAAACTCTAATTAATTAATTTTATATCATTTTATAAAATCAGAGAGATGCTATAGCTTAGATTTGGGGGAAAGATTGGCAAATGATGTGCCTTATTAGACTCAAAAGTGAATAGAGTGGATCTTCCACAATTGCGGACATGAAATATTTCCCATACTGTACTCAGAATTCAAAGGGTTGAATATCAAAAAATTAGGGACACGATTTTAAGATTATTGTTGGTCTTATTTTTCCCTTATTACATTTTTTTCAGGATCGAAGGGTCAATTTCGGTATGTCGATTCGAAATTGAATTTGAAAAAAAAAAAAAAATCACAAATTCTATGAGCATTTTTCAAGTTAAATAAACATCGAAAATTTGAAAAACATGCAAGGAATGGGGGTTTTCTTTTGAGTTCACTTCCGAATCGCAATAAAAAACATTTACATTTCTACGAAATTTTCAGACACAAAATGTTTTTCTACCAGTTATCAGAATTCAAACTGTTAAATATCAAAATATTGGGTAGATGATATGAAAATCCACTTTTTGGGCTCAATTTTCCCCTGTACGAAATACCGTCATTCAAAAAAATATTTTATTCCCATTTCCCTACATCCTTGCAACTTTAATAAAAGCCTTGTCATTTTCTTTTATATCTTTATATTTTCAAAATTTCTCCTAAAGCTTTTTCTTTTTGTTAAGAAAAACGAATTTAGTATGAAACTTTTTTGATTTCACCTAATGGAAAATATCTACTTGATTTCAGATTTCCATGGACAAGTTTGTATTTTTCAGTAAAAAAAAAACTTTTTTCATTTTTTAAATGTAATAGTTGAAAATGAAATTTGAAAAATTTGCAATTATTACAATTAAATATATGGATAATTCTTTAAAGGCTTAATTATTGTTGCAAGTTATTATAAAAACGGTCGGATATTTCGAATATGGAAATTTGAGTTTGAAAAGGGAGGATGTGGGAGAGTCTCCCCAACAATGATTACCAAGAATTCGTAAAGATTTTATCCACTTTTCTTATCGAACATATCCAAATCTGCCACTTTTGGCAGATAAATTATATATTTTATACATTTTCATTCAAAAATTATCCAAGTTAGGTCAGATAAATTATCCGCATTTGATGGATAAATTTTCCACATTTGGTAGAAAAATTATCCACCTTTGGTGCATAAATTATCCAAAATTTGGTTAATGGATTATCCACTTTTAGTGGATAAAATATCCACATTTGATGGATAAATTATCCACGTTTGGTGGCTAAATTATTCAGTATTTGTGGATAAATTATCCACTTTTGGTGGATAAGTTATCAACTGTTTTTGGATAAACTATCCATGTTTGGGGGATAAATTATCCACTTTTCGTGGAATATTATCCTCGTTAGGAGCATAATTTATCCACATTGGGTGAATTATCCACGTTGGTTAAATTATCCTACATTTGGTGAATATATTATCCACTTTTGATGGATAAATCATCCACTTTTGGTGGATAAATCATCCACATTTGGTGGATAAATTATCCATATATAGTGGATAAATTATCCACGGTTTGTGGATAAATTATCAACATTTGGTGGATAAATTATCAACTTTTGTTGGATAAATTATCCATGTTTGGTGGATAAATTATCCACTTTTCGTGCATAGACTATCCCCGTTAATTATCCACACTATCCACATTGGGTGAATTATCCATGTTGGCTAAATTATCCACATTTGGTGGATAAATTATACACATATAGTGGATAAACTATCCACATTTGATGGATAAATTATCCACAGGTTCTGGATAAATTATCAACATTTGGAGGATAAATTGTCAACATTTGGTGGATAAATTATCTACACATAGTGGATAAACTATTCACATTTGATGGGTAAATTATCCGCTTTTTGTGGCTAACTTATCTACGGTTTGTGGATAAATTATCAACAAATAATTGATAAATTATCTATCTTTGGTGGATAAATTATCCACTTTATGTGGATAAATTATCCCCGTCAGGTGCTTAAGTTATCCACATTGCCTGAATTTTTCAAAATTTAGTGATAAACTATCCACATTCGTTGGAGAAATTATCCACTTTTTGTGGATAAATTATCCACAATTGGTGGTTAAATTACCCACAATTTGTGGTTAAATTGTCCACATTTTGTGGATAAGTTATCCATATATTGAGGACAATGTATCCCGAAAAAAGTTTAAAAATTATCCAAAATTGTAGATAATTATTCACATATCGATCAATTATCTTGAAAATGGTTTATTTATCATTTAAAGGTTTTGGATCTATTTATAAAATGGATAATTTAAACATAAATATCGGATACATGGTCCAAAAAGTTTGATAAATTTTCCTCAAGAAGTAGAAATATTTTCAAAAAATGTGGAGAATTAGTTAATTAGTTCTGGATAATACCTTCCCGATATGCCAAATAATGTGGATAAAACTGGATAATACCCAGATAATTCAGTAACTGGAGTAATAGCGACGGATGAAAAATATTCTTCTTTGAGATTTGAATATTATTGAGAATGGAATGATTCTTTGATAACGCTAGAATTTATAGGTAGTTTCAGTATCTTCAACAAAAGGTTCCGGTTTTTTTAATAACCCCGTATCTCAAAGAATCCTCAAGGGATGGATGAATAGTGTCCATATTTTAGGGGACAATTTTGGCGGTAGTAATTATTAGGTGGTAAAAACTTGTCCAATCCCCTTCTTTTTTTTCACTTTCAATACAGGAGACAATATTTGGAATTTTATATTTTCATATCGTAAATTGAAAACTTTTCTTTTTTCATTATTTACTTACTTTATTTTACTACATAAACTTGAAAAAAAAAACACAATTTTATGTATTTTACAATGCGGTGCTTTTGTTAATTTTATTAACATTAACAAAACAGATTTTTTTAATTATCAACAACAAAAAAGACAACATAAAAACTCAGAATATGAGTTTTTTTCATATAAATATATAAACAGAAATTAGCTCAATTTAGAGGAAACTATTTGCTAAGATTTTTTGAGAGTGAAAATCAAATGTTTTTTAAAAACGCAAATTTTGTCAAAACCCAATAAACAAACAAAACAAAAAATGGAACACAAAAAAGGGTCTAAAAGTTGTATTTTTTATTTAAAAAAAAAAAAAAATAATCCTTATAATATATAAAGAAATACAAATAAATAAAATGAAAACAGAAAAAACAATGCTGAACTCTAATTTTACGACAACAAAACGAATATTTAGATAAAAAATATATTAAACGAAAAAATACGATTTACAAAAGTAAAATAAGAAAAGCAACGAAAGTACATATGAAAAAAAAAAAAACATAAACACATTTTTAAACATTTTTAAAATATTAAATATTATTTGTTAATACCAACGTTATTATGATTAATCTTAATATTTTTTTTTCAAATTTATAATATATATATTTTTTCTGCTGTAAATTAATGTAAAATTATGTTCTTCTCTTTTTTTCTATTATCCTCTTGGGGCTCTCTAATAAAACATTTTTTTTTTTAAATAGTCTTAACATAATGAATTATTTTCTAAACATAAACACGTATTTATTTTAAATTTACAATACAATTACTGCAAATATTATCATCTTAAATAAAAAAAAACATCAACAATTTTAATTTAAATGTTGTTAACCCACGTGCTTAATTTTTTTTATTCCTGAATTAATTTAGTTATTTTAAATAATATTAACAATAAATAAATTAAATATGAACTAGAAATTAAATGTTATTTCGAGACTACAAGAAAATATATATATCTAAAGTTAAATGTAAATTGTTTGTGGTTTTCTTTATAGCATGTAAGGGACATAGGGGACAAAAATTTGTATTTGGTAATAAAAGTTGTTAAGAGATATTGAAATTCTCTGGCCTTTTCGATTTTATAAACTAAAAGTGGAATGCGTCTTTCGCGGTTATTTAAACTACAAATGTTATTATTAAATTTAAGGTCAAGGTTTTAAAAAATTGGAAATAACGCTTTACTTCTGACATCTCCTTTGGAAACTAATTTCCAAGATCGAATATTGATTTGAAATCTTGGTTTTTATAAAATACGCCCTTAACAAAAAATCGTGATTTTTTCAACCAATTTTCAAGGCAATTTTAAAGTCCATACCCTTTTAAATTTAAAGCCATAAAGGGTAAACGTATTAAAGGTTCCTCATACTAAAAGTATGAAAACGTTATTAGGGATTGGACGTACCCTTTAGCGTTTACCATCTAAAAATGTATTAAGGACTCCCTGGTCAATAATCGAGAAGTTCTGAGACGTCAGCAGGGTGTGACAACTAGTGGCCCGGGTCCTCTCTGAAATACCTATTTTTCTGCCATTTGTTTATTTTTGAAGGAACATTAATTTTTTGCTAGTTCGGCCCCGAAATAGTTTGGAAACAAATTTCTGTTTACGTTCCTGGCAGATTTTAAAAATTCTTTTTCAAAAAGAATTTTAATATATTTCACTCAAAATTATTCAAGGACTTCTAGGCTATATGTTCTTGGATTTTCTAAAAATATATTTTTTAAAGATCCTGGTCAAAATGGCTGGATTTTTTTTTAGAAAATTTTCAAAGACAGTAGATTTTCTAAAACAATTTTTCCAAGGGGTTTCTTAAAAACGGTGAAAAAAGGTGCATTTCAATAATTGATCCCTCTGTGGGGGAGGTACCAGAAGGAGTAAATCGATATAAGTCCTCTTCGCACCATATGTTGTGTTAGTAGAAATAATGGGATTTCGGATTTTATGCTCATTTTGGTTATTCAAAATGTTCACCCTTTGTGGGGGTGTATTCAGAAGGAATGGTCCGATCTCTACCATCTTTATAATATATCTTGTATTTATAGAAATATTGAGATGTCCCAAGTCTGAATGAAATCAGATTTTATTTTCGCGTTTAATTAGATTCATGCATATTCAAATTTTCGATCTTTTGTGGGGGAGGTACCAGAAGTGGACCGATATATCTTTTACCATTTTAACACCAGATCTTGAATTTGTAAAAGTATTGGGATGTGTGAAATTCTAAGACTATCGAACTCTTACATCACATTTTATACCTAGCACTGACGCAAATATTAGGATTTGCACAGTTGTAGCAAAATCAGATTAGCGTTCCTTTTTCTGTGCAGAAAATATATTTTTTGAAAGTTTCGACCCTTTGTGGGGGAGATATCAGAAGGTGTGGACCGATATTGCCCATCTCCAAATAATATATACCCTCTCTAGGCCATATTGCTGAGGTTATAAAAATGCGTGCTCTTTTAGAAAAGTTCATCGTGCGCTTCTTGTGTTCACGTAAAAAATATAAATTATGGAGTGAAGATCAGTATTGCAGAAACTACCAATGCATCCTGAAAAAGTCAAAGTTTGGTCTGATGACATCATTAGATCAAAGCTGAAACTGTGAATGGTGGACTTTGCTGTGAGATGATATCCAACCTTTTATTTTGTCAAAATGTAGTTTCAACAAGACGGTGCCACAGGCCACACAGTATGCCTAACAATTGACATATGAAGAGGCAAGGTCCTTTAACGCTTTATTTCATTTTTGGGCCCGGTCAATTTATGTCTCATAAAAAATCACCCTTTATGACTTTGAAATTTTACCATGCTCAAAATGAAATTTTGATCTAGAATATTTCATCCTTTCGCCCTATCCCCAATAAAAGAAATTTTAAGGTAGATTTTGACTCAGATTAGAAACGAAATGTTATGTTTACATCACATACTTAAATCGTCAGATTCCAAGGAATCTTAAACCGAACATTTAAAAAAAAAGAAGAAAGGGGAATCTTGCCCACCTGTATATAAATCTCTTTGCCATGTAAACTTTTAAAAAGCCGATACACCTGTCTTCTATTTGTAACTCTACGTCCTACTGGGGTTTTTGTAGTTTTTTTTTTGTCGCTCAATATACCAAAATAACTATTAGATCGGTAAGTATGTGTACCATCACTTTTCGAAGCACTTTATATTATGACCGTGTATATATGCATCCATACGTTTGGCTATATATTTTTTATTATATATTTATATTTTATATTTTTGCATGCCGTACTGAGACTTTTTTTGGAGATGATCTTCCAATGCCTATTTGAATTCAAATAATGTTTAACCCCCCCAATTAACCAAAAATGATTGCTTTGTGTTTCTTTACCCAAAACAAGCTATGCCAAAGGAATGATAATTTTGCTAATCGGCGGTAAGTCAAAAGCATGGAATGTGCCAAATAATCTTAACAATATCCCAGATTTCTATTTAATTTAAACATTTAAACATTAATTTATTTTCTTTATTCTCTTTAACACAGCGTCTTCATCTACGGTTGCCACGGCCACCTCATCGGCATTCGAACCACCCCGTGGAATTTTGAAATCGAAATCATCTGTTATCGGTGGCGTGGGCCTAATGCCCAGCGCTCTTAGCAATGAATTGAAAAATCGCCTAAAATCTTCACAAAATGCTTCCGTCTCGAATCTACGCAAATCGGCTACGACCAGTGATGCGGTACGCGAACTACAACCATCGACGAACATATCAGCTTCAACGACATCGGCCGCATTCCCAATGACCTCGTCCGGCTTGGTAGCATCATCATCGAATCAACACGACGATACGGTTAGTTTAGTTCGTAATCTAACGAACTTGGGTAAACCTCCCCAGCTGAGGGATCCCATGAAAACGGAACCGGATATAGCCTCCGCGTCGGAGGGTGAAAGTTCAGGTGGTCGCGAGGTGTCGGAAATTATTAAAAACAGTGCTGTGGCACGCAGGCGTAAATTTAATGAAGGGTAAGTTAGCGATCGTCAAACTCCGGCAGATCGTTTTTTTTTTTTAATAAAGAAAAAAAATCCACTTAGTTTTAGTATCTAGTATTAGGAATGCAGTTAGGTATTGAAAAATAAAAATAAATTCAAATTAAGCACTCATACTCCACACAACAAATTGCTAAGATTTCAATGCTTTTTGTTTCCCGTTTTGAGCAAATTGTAAATATAGATAACATTATTTTGTAACATTTATTGAATGGTATGCTACTTTTTTTTAAGAAAAAATAATTCAACCTTAAATGTTAAGCTTAATTTTTTGGTACTAATATTTTGTAAAGTCAAAGCCATTTTAAACAGCAAAGGAAATTACAATTTAATCAGAATCGTTTTCTTCGCACTACGCTTGACGAAGATATGTTTTCTTTATGTTTACCAGGGATAAAATATCATTGCCGTTGAGTTTATATCATTACGTTGGGTAGACTTTAATATAAAAACCTGAAAGGAAAAGTTAAAAGTCGGACGAGGCCGACTATATGATACCCTACACCACAATGCATTTTAAATACAGCTCCCGTAACAAAAGAATTTATTTGAAGTAGATCATACCACCTATCAACCTTTAGAGCAGTTATAGTTTGGTTTCAGAGGGAACTAATATATGGGAGGCATATCCAATTCTGAATCGATTTTTAACAAATTTGACGGAAACATTTTAATCTTTTATACCCAATAACATTGCTAAAGAGTGCAGGATATCACTTCGAGAAGGATTATATTAAAAAAATACATATCGAAGCCGAGTTCCACAAAATGGAAACGTACGTCCAGAAATTCACTCCATTTGGGCTGATATTAGCCATTATTTGCACAATAAACCTGTAATCGGATAAAGATACATATAGAAGCTATATCTAAATCTTAGTCGAATGCATATTACGAATGTAAGGGACATAAACATCAAATCGGATGAAACCAACCTCCAGGAGGGTATATTAAGTTTGTCGTTCCGTTTGTAACACCTCGAAATATACATTTTAGTACCCACAAAGTATATATATATTCTTGATCAGCATAAAATTCTATGTCGATTTAGCGATGTCTGCCGTCTATCCATCTGTCCGTCTGTGGGAATCACTAGCTTCCCAACGAATTGAAGTTAATTGATAAAATTTTACTCAAATGTATATTATGTCTACAGGACTTTTTGTATTAAAATGGGCCCTGAAGGTCCACGTTTTGGTATAGCCCCCATATAATGGTACCTCCCTTTATTCGATATTTTGGTGATTTAAGCGACATTATTCATCGGAATTGTTTCAAATTTGGTATTTGAAGTTCGTAATGGATACTGCAGCCTATGACAGAAAATTGTCTGTGCAGATCGACGTCTTCGTATGGTCCCCATAAAACGGTACCTCCCGATATTCGGTATTTTGATGATTTTAGATACATTATTCACCAATTTTTTTTTTTTTAAGTTTCGCATTTGAATATTTTAATGGTCCATGTCGTCACACGCTGCCCGAATGTTGCTCTGCGGTATTTTGACCCATTCCCAGTGCCAACCTTGCTTTCCAAAATACTCCAGACACAATAGTCCAACGGATTGGTATCCGGAGATTTTGGTGGCCATTGTGCGCTGGAAATGAGGCGGGGAATCTCATTGTGTAACCATTCTTGGTTGGCGCGTGCTGAGTGCGATGGTGCTGAGTCCTTTTGGAATGTCCAAGGTCTGCGGCCGAAATATTTGCGTACCCAAGGGTTTAATATACTCTCCAGAATATTTTTGCGATAATATTCGGCATTTATTCTAATACGAGCGAAGAGCGACCCACACCATCACCATGGCAAGCGCTCGATTTCAGATGACCTCTTTGGCAAGTAAACACGATCATTTTTTTTTTTACAAACTGCTGGACACCGAATGTTTTCTCATCCATGAAAACCAAATTCGGCAGTTCACCACTTTCGGCCAAGCGGAGCAACTCTTTATCTCTT